AGAGAGAGAGAGAGAGAGAGAGAGAGAGAGAGAGAGAGAGGGAGAGATGACAGACACACAGACAGACACACAAACACAGATATATAGATATCATTATGTTGTGGCCCGCCAGCAGCTAGCGGAGATAGCAGTAGATTCAGACTGTGAGGAGATTGGGGAAAAACATGGGCCATGGAGTCTGGGGAAGGCTCTGATGAGGGCTCTGTGTTGGAGGCAAAGGGGGGGCCAGAGCTGTATGCCAGTTATCAGCTGCCTTCAGAGTCAGACATCAATGAGGTAGACGAACAGCTGAAGCCTGTTCCCAGTGTGCACCTGCACAGAGTTGCCACAAAGGGAACAGCTAAAAAATAGGGGTCGACTTGGAAGTAAGGCCACAGGTGGATGACAAAGGGCCCCTCCCAGAGGAAATAAAAGAGAAGTGAAAGGGGAGTGGAGTTTGCAGGAAACAATTAGTTCACTTAATTTGGTTTCGTGACTCTCCGAGACTCCTTGCCAAGTTTTGCAGTTATTGGCCTGGCAACTCTCCAAGCCAGATAAGGTCTGTGACTGTAAATCCTCCCTTGAAAGACTTCGCTGGATGTGAATGAATAGAATTTACAGTAAATTAATAAAAGGTTTTTTTTTGTCAGGACAAGGAGTTTGTTTCATGCTCTTGGGAAGCCTCCGTCAGAACACATTATATTTTTTCTATTACAAGCGAGCTTCTTTCCTTTTATTGTTCCTAAAAACTATTGATTTGGATCATGGTGGAAACAAATGAGGAAAATAACTTCTGTATATTCTAGGCAGCCAAGCCACAAAGAAAACTTTAAAACTATTTGTATAAGTTAATTTCATAATCTCGAAGTTTCTTCCATTGCTCAATGTAGCTATCAGGGCTCTCCAGAGTGGTCAGTATTGAGCCTGAGGGTCAAGGGGATTATTAAAGGGGTCAATGTTTTTATCACAATAGTATTAGATAAAACATTATTTATTAAATTGCTTTCATATTTATTTATTTGTATCCCGCATTTATTATTTCTACAAATAGCTCAAAGCAAGAACATACCCAACACACCTTCCTCCTCCCCAGGGTGACCCTCCCCCCAGGTAACCCAGCTGGCTTTCACACCTAAGATGGAATTTGAACTCATGGTCTCCTGCTATCTAGCCTGCTGCCTTAACCACTAGGCCTAGTTGGGGGTGATGAACATTCTGAAACCTTAAGAAGGGATTGATGAGCTGAGGAGTTTGGAGATCCCTGATTTAAATCCATCCCCCTCCCCAGGTCTCAGTGGTATCCAGTAATTTTTAATCTGGGCAAATATGTGATACTGTGAAATAGAATTTATATAAATTGTTTAATATTAATCTTAATAGTTTAATATTAAACACTAGCTTGTTACACAGACAGAAGTGACTCTGTTGGGAACTTAGGATACCGGATGCAGCGCTCCGATAATAAACCTATAGAATGCATATAGCCGTTTATGTCTGTAATTAGGCCACAAAGCAAACCCCCCCTCACCAGATTTTTCATGGTCTTCTACATTTCATTCCAGGTGACTCCTTTGTTCCAAAAGTTGGAGGCTGAACAAATTGAGAACTTGAGGAAGCGTTTCGGTGGAGGACAGGTAAGAAAGGGTGGAATGAACTGATTCGTCCAGACTCCTTTGGAAGCCTTTGACAGAGAGAGAGACATCTCTACACCTCTTCTGAGGCTCCTTAAAACAGTTGGGATACATTTCGTAACCTGAGGATTCATTGGAGTGAATCACGTAAAATGAACATGAAAATCCCCTGCTTTCACCCACATTCGCATGCGCAGTTGTTAAGTGCACATGCACATGAGCTATCTCAGGTGGGGAAGGCTGATGGAACAGACCACCTGCTTAAGACTACCAAAGACTACCACGACCCACTGAGAATACCTCATGCTCCCCACAATTGCCTCCCTCCCACTATCCTGCTGTGCCAGGTCACTTACCTTGAGGAGATCTAGCAAGCTGTCTCCTTTCCAGCTTCTATGCCACACAAAATCATGGCGTCCAGAAGCTTCCAGTCTCCTTGCAAAACATTTGCAAGCCGACAGGATGCTTTCAGGCAGTGGGATTTTGCTGCCTCAAAGCGTCCTGTCAGCTTGCAAAAGTTTTGCACAGAGACTGGAAGCTTCTGGGCACCATGATCTTGTGTGACTTTAGGCACTCATTCACTTTAGCATAGAATGGTGGCCTGAGGTCTCATGTGATCACGGCCCCCAAAACATTTCACTTTCGGTGCGCGAAAAGCATTTGCAAGCTGATCGGATGCTGGAAGCAAAATCACTCTGCTCTCAAAGAAACTGCAGCAGAAAGGAGACAGATTTTTGCAAGGCAAAGTGAATCTGGCACAGCAGGATGGGAGAGGGGAAGCAATTGTAGGGAGTGGGCGGGGGAGGGCGGAAAAGGGATATTGAATGTTGCAGTGCTTCTGCGGTGTTCGTAAGGGTGAATGACTGCCAGGGTGCTGCAATATTCGTAATTTCAGGACTGTCATAAATATTTGAGATTAACACATAACTTTGAATAGTCATTAAATGAACTGTAGCAACTCAAGATATTAGTAAATCTCTTCCGTAGCTGTTGTGTCCTTCTCCTTCTCCTCTTCCTCCTCCTTTGTTGGGCAATCTGGTTTAGATACTCTAGGTTGCAAAATCCTTCCTCTGCTGTAGCACCTAACTACTATTCCTGCCTCTTTCTGGTCTTTCTGTGGTTCCCTTCTCCTGTTTTCCAGTTTGAAGACTTCCCACTGAAGCCAAAGGTAAAATTTGTTAACCGGATAGCATTTTGTGATATAGGGTCTAGGTACTCGGGGGGGGGGGGGGGCGTTGTTCACCTGTCTCCCACAATATCTGCTTGGCCAATCTGATCTGGTTGGGCTGGCACGTTCCTGGTTCCTTCAGTTAAGCAATGCCATCTATTGGAATCCTGGAAACAAACCTTCTCTGTAACAGCAACTAAGTTCTGGAAAATACAAATGGCCCCTACCCTGCTGGTGTTTTGAAGGTTCTTCACCCAGAGCTTTGGTATGAGGATCACTGAAGTTTCCTTTTAACCCAGGTTGTTTTCCTTTCCTTCTACCCAGTTTGTCACCCTGCTATTTTTATTTTGTTGTTTCTTCTTTGTCTTGTTTTAAACAATTTATACATTTCCCAGAATATCTGGGAATCGGGCAACATATACATTTAATAAATTATTATTATTTGGGTCTCCACAAGCATCCTTTAGATTCTAGGCTTCCACCAGAGAATCAAATCTTTGTATGAATTTCTGAAGTGCTCTAGCCATAACTTGAATCCTTCCACCTATGGCTTATTAACCATGATAATCATTCCTTTGTAGCTTGTATTGCAAGTTCAACCCTCCTTCCCCCAAAAATGTTATTGCTACAATCACACACCAGTCCTTTGTCTCTGCCTTTTACCTTAATATTGTGACACCATAGTATTCCTTTTATGGATGGTGCTTTGCAAGGAGTGCATGCTCCCTTTCTCCACTTCCTGAAATTAGCTGTATTTTAATACTTTTAGCATCTGGTGCTATTGTTTTCCCTTCTTGTCAATAAGCATAATCTGATTTGGAGATCATACAAGCATGGTGTAGGAGATGTTAAAAAGTTGAGAGGTGTGGTTCATTTAATAATTTTTATCTTCTTTGGCTTCCAGCAAAAAGCATCTGCAAATATCCAGAAAACTTTGGGAGGGAAGGAACATCAGGAAGGAGAACGGGTAAGACTGGATTCTGAATTGTTGGAGATGAGGTTAGTAACAAGTGTAGTTATCATTAAGGTCTAGGCTTCCCTGTACAGCTTATTGGAGTATTTTGCCTGTATAAGAGTACACTTAGGTACCACTTATTTCTAAGATAACGTAATAAAATAATGGTGCAGGTTGTGAGTGGATTATGGTGAATTTGCACAATGTACTAATAAGAGGTTTGCTTCTTTGGACTGAGCATGTAGCATGACTCCAGCCAATCTGACTTGTAAATTGTAGTTTACACATTAGCGTGCTATGGTTAAACAGTTCTGCAGCTAGCTATTCCTATCATGGTAGCCGTTTTGAGAATGCCCACATTTTGTTCTCAGATGCCCAGTGACCCTAGCAATCAAAATTCTACAAGACGGGGGGTGGGGGTGGGGATAACCTATGGCCATTTTTCACACTTATGACTGCTGCAGCATCCCCATGGTCATGTGATTTACATTCAGAAGCTTGGCAATTGACTCGTATTTATGACGGTTGCAGAATCATGTGATCCCCTTCTGACAGTCAAGATCAATGGAAAAACCTAGATTCACTTAATAACTGTGTTATTAACTAACAACTGCAGTGATTCACTTAAGAAATATGGCAAGAAAAGTCAGAAAATGGGGCAAAACTCACAAATGTTTCACTTAGCAACATAAATTTTGAGCTCAATTGTCATACGTTGCAGACTGCCTGTACTGGAAGACAGCTATCATGATCCCCTAATCCTTCTCTGTTAGGCTAGGCATACGTATTTCCCTTAAACGTTCATCATACAATATATGAAATATAGTGTTTTCCATGCAAGTCTGCTTTTCTACCAGTATTGTTTCTGTTTCCCTTTTCTTTGAAACTTCAATAGATAAAATTTTAAGCTATTAAAGGAACACATTCTGCCTCAATTTCCAGGAAAATCTTAGCTTACGTTTGTTTCTAAATTGGATTTTCCTCTTGAACAAGATTGCCATATACTCATTACAGTTTTGTTATCTAGGGTAACCATGTAAAAAACGCAAAGGCCCAGAGTGCCAGAAAAGAGCAAGTTGAAGTCATGGTCTCAGACCTGGTGGAACTACAGAAGCAGCACCATGTGGTAGAAGGAAAAGGGAAAAAGAAAAAGTGACCAGCGGAGCTGTGATTGCGATCAAGACGTCTCAGGTTCATTTGGTTTGTGACAATTGCTAGCAACTGTGATCCCGTTTAATTTTTTCCTTTTATTAGTCTTTCTGTGACTCCCACACACAGTTCCAGAACCTTCAAACGGTTGGATTACACAGGACAAAATAAATACTTTATTGCTCTTTATACAAGTACAAAGCACTGTTGTACAGAACGATACATGCAGACATTCCTCCCTGCAATCTCCTGGCAAGGACAGGAATAGGTGTAACTATTAAAAAACAAAGTCCACGCCTGCCACAGTCAGTCTCTAGGAAAGTCAGGGATCTCCTCTTTGCCTAAAATAACTGGGCCACACAGAGTACAGTTCTGCAAGGGAAGTCCACTTGGCTACACAGAGTAAGAACAAGTATTTCAAGTTCTAAGTGTCGCAGGGCACTGATGTGCTTTAAGGTGTCGACAAGTGCCTCTCCCTTTTGGCATGCTGCACAGTCACTCCATCTGCAAAGGATGAAGCCCTCCTTGTCCATAGCAAGGAGAAATAATTTCAGTGCAGAAAGTGTGCCAGGACCCCATCATGTCTTTAGGCTCACCATCCTCTGGATGAGCGCTGCTCGAGTAGCTTCCACCTCAGCGGTCAAGCGCTGTATTTCCTGCTGGAGATGCTCATTGTGTGCAGTCAGCTCAGCCACTCTGCGCTCATTCTGCTGCTCCCGCTCTCTGCCGCGCTGCCTCTTGCCACCGTGAGGCTGGCCACTCTGCCGCCTCTTCCGGCTAGTAGACACCCCCTCATCGTCATCTGTGCCCGTCTGTGTAGGAGAGCTGTGGCTAGAATCGGACTCCGCTGGCCCTGGGGGCTCCTGGCCCAATTGCTCCAAAAGTTCTGCTGCAAGATCAGGCTCCAACTCATAGTTTCCTGTCATTATCTCCCCATTAAGCTCCAAGGAATTGGAAGTCTCCAAGTTCCACAAGAGAGCAGCACCATCAAAGCCATCGAATTCCTTCTGAAAAAGAAATGGAACAAGAGATGGGTTAAAAGAGGATGCATATTGTTGGCCTCCATCTCCAATAAAGCCCCCGTGGCAGGCTGCAAAGTGGAGTTTAAAAAACAAAGTTCTTAGCTGTCAAACTGATAACAAGGCTTTGTTTACTGGCTGCCTTTCCTGCCTGTTCTTTTTCACAAGTCTGAATATAGTGGGAGAAAAAAAAATCCACTCAGTCCTTTGGTGTAAGGAAGGGAGGTGGGGAGGGGGGGCTACATAAATCATTGCAATGTTTGATTTAACTTGAAGATTTTAGCTGTGCAGAATTTCGTATCTGATCTCCAAGAGGTGCTCCGGTGCCTGAGAAAATGTGAATGCAGTGCACAACTTGACAACCTATGAAAATTCTATAACAACTCCTCCTTCCTAGGAAGTCCCCAGTTGCCTAGTTGCCTTGCCCACACGTTTAACTGACTCAATGTTGGATCAAGTCATAATGTAGTGGTACAGAAGAAGTTATATGTAACACATCAGGGCCCTGTGTTGCATAAATGTTTACCTCAGATAAAGAAAATGGAACGATATCTAACTTTGGTTCAAATAACTCCACCAAGACAAATTGGGAGATATAGCAATAGCAATAGCAGTTAGACTTATATACCGCTTCATAGGACTTTCAACCCTCTCTAAGCGGTTTACAGAGTCAGCATATTGCCCCCACAGTCTGGGTCCTCATTTTACCCACCTCGGAAGGATGGAAGGCTGAGTCAACCCTGAGC